TTCTCACTTCGAAGTTGGCGTCGGTTGGTGCATCCCGACTGCCTGACTGGGGTCCTAAGGACGGTGAACACGTTTGGTTGGACACACTTGCTGATATGGCTTGGAGCCGGCCCCAATGGCGTTTGTGTTGTGAGTTCCTTTGTCCATCCCGCTCCTGTTTAGCATCCCCCTCCAATCACGATCTCACTTGTTAGGCATAATGTGACTATCTTTGACGGCAGCCAGCTGTTAGCTCTCCGGAACGATGTCCATCCGTTACTGGGGACTCAGCGGGCGTGCCACTGTTTTCCTTTTCTTGTCTTTTGTATTGCGGCACAATAGTTGAGGTGTTTTCCACCTCCAGCTAACGTGTAATGATGATGATGATGATCATCAACGACTTACCATCCACTCTTCAGACGGATTGCCTAATCTATGCTGACTACCTAAAGCTATGGACGGAAGTATCCAACATTGAAGACGCGGACAGATTACAAACTACGCTCGATCTACTCCATGACTGGTCGATTAAGTGGCAGTTGCCCGTACATCGTGATATATGCTCTGTTCTCCCCGTTGGCTCATCAAACCTATTTGGAACTTACCACATTGGTGGTTCCTTGCTCAGAAGCACAACCCAAGAGAGAGATCTTGGAGTGATAGTGTCATCAGACCTCAAATCTATTCAAGACACCCAGAAGAGGGTCGTCGCGGCCTACAGGATGTTCCATTCTATACGTAGAGGGTTTTCTCTCCTGACCCCGGGACTTTTCCGACTCCTCTTTGGCTCACATGTACGCTCGATTCTCGAATACGGGCTACTTGCTGCTTACCCTCTCACCAAATCCGAATGTGATATGATAGAGAAGGTTCAACGGCGTGGATCCAAATCCGTCCCTGAGTTGCGAGACCTTTCTTATCCACACCGACTTCAACGACTGGACTTGTTCTCTCTAGGTTACCGCCGTCACCGAGGAGAATTGATATTCATTCGACGTATTCTCAGAGGAGAACTGGGTTGCGAGTTACAGGACTTCTTTCAACTCAACACTGAGAGTTCAACACGAGGCCACCGCATGAAACTGTTCAAACCGTGGAATCTCCGTGTGCGACTCAATTTGGCCTTATCAACTCGCGTGGTGAATAATTGGAACCGGTTGCCGGATCCTGTTGTTGATGCTGAGACAGGAACGTTGCAAACAACTGTTAGACTATCACCTGAGCGCGGTGGGATTCTGCTGCCTCTAAGACATCTACAGTGCTCCTCTGCGGAACCATCTGCCGCAATGACCCACGCCATCTCCGCAATGAGCTGGAAGTGAAGGAGCTGACAAAGGATCTTCCTTCTGCTCTCTATCATCCAATGATCCAATGATTCCTCTCCAGCAATCTTCCGTGCTTCCTTAGCTGCTTCCTTTGCATCGGCCTCTTACTAGGCGGCTCGAGCGTCCAGCTGTCTACGAGGAACTTATTTTGCATTGCAACTTGTCACACTACTTGAACGGGGAAGGGCTCAGAACGCCGGACCGAAAGAAAGTTACAAATTTGGCGACCATGCCAGTTCACCACAGCAATCCACTGAGCTAGATTGTAGCCCTTGAGGCAATAGTTAACTTTCTTCTATCGTGCTGCTTGTTGTTGAATCTCCCCAGCCTAATATACCGCGCTCAGTGCCTCTTGCAGGTACATAAATTCATGACGGTATGGCCCATTATGGGCGCTGAGGACAGCGCCTGCTAAGAGGGGGATAATGTAGCCAGTCCTCGGGCGTGACGGTAACACGTTAACAGGTAGGAGATTGATCGGTTTTGCTTCCTGTTATCATTACCCTCATATTCCTCTCCAGCACTCTTCCTTCTCTCTTCCGTGCTTCCTTAGCTGCTTCCTTTATATCGGCGGCCCGGGCATCCAGTCGTCTACGAGGTACTTATTTTGCATCGCAGTTTGTTGCACTACTTGGACACGGAAGAGCTCAGAACGCCGGACCGAAGAAATATTAATCGATGTTAATTTTTGTCCCGAAGATAACGTGTTGGCCGTTGCGGTCATTTTCAGTTAGACGTCTTTTAACTGATAAATCCTTACATTAGGTGCAGGAGTTCAAGCATGGTTTCTTTATATATATATATATATATATATATATATATATATATATATAAGTCGCCTTTGTAGTATGCGTACGGTCGAGGATTCCGAGGGCTTTTGGTTTTCTGGCGTACGTGGGCCGTAAGAAACTGGGGGTTGAAAGGCATGAGATATTTCCTAGACAGCTGGTTAGTTCTATCTCAACCTCCTTGTAAGTGTCGGAGCTGGATGGAGGGTATGCCTTTGTTACACCTGATGAGCTAGTCGCTGTCGTCACAGGCCACGCTTGAAGGCAGTGTCTCAGTGCGTGATGTCGTATGTTGCGGATGGAGGGCAATACAGTGGTAGAGGTGACGCTGGCGTTACGGTATTTTACTACTTGATGTAGTAGCGTACGATATGGAGAAGCGGGGGTGTAGAGAGAGGGGAATGTAATCAAGCGGTAGGTGGTGGGCGTGTGTGTTAATCTATGACTCTGTGTGTGTAGCGTAGTCCTTGAGTGTGTTTGTTCGTTAGAGTTGTGCACACTCGTCCAACGTTTGCACGCCATAAATTCAGTCAATTCAAACGCTCGATCTCCCCATCAACGGCTGACGACAGCGGACTAGCTCTTCAGGTGCTAACCAATGGACATACCACTCCATCCAGCATCGATCAACTTACATGAGAGTTCGTGAATAGTGATACACTCCCCAGTACTCGCTGTATTCTAGGTATTTATCGCATGCAATACTTTCAAACCCCCTGTAGTTTCTTAACGGCCCACGTATGCCACACCTGGATATATTCCTAAAGCCATCACGGTAATCCGTCGCACGTCCGTTCGATTGTAGTATTTAGGACGTCGAAAGTCGTGGGTGTGTCGTCGTAGCTGCCGGATGTTTCTGTGTGTCGTTGTGTTGTCGTGTGTACGTGTTGTCGTGTGTCGTGTGTGGTGGTGGTGTAGTGTGTTGTGTAGATAGTGTGTTTTATAGTAACCAAACATGTGCGTGTATCTAATGAACAAAGTTGGCCGGTTGGTGGGTGATCGGGTTTTCTGGGCTCGTCAGTTAGGTTATATGTCTAGATCTTAGGAATAATAGAGCGATGAGGAGGGTATTTTCTGGATTTATGAGTGGTTTTGTGGGAGGAGGGAACGCCGCAAGGGCGCGGTTGAGATGACACGGGGAATTGGTGGGCTTATTTAGGAGTGGATTTTGTATGTTAAGACGGTGTTCGTACTCAAGGGTGGGCCAGCGAGGCAGAAGACAAGTGTGTTATGGTAAATGATGCCTTTCGGCTATATGATAGGTTGCTGATCCCCTCGGTGTGTTGTGTACGTGGGGCGGTGTGATGATTTGATGTGCAAAGGCGAGGCTTGGGTGTTACTGGCTACAGCCCACAATTCCGATATAGCTCAATTACGCGCGTTTTCGGCCGTTTTACAGCGCAGAACGACAGGAATGGCCTTCATTTTGCCAACCATCTTAGCTGGCGCATGTCCACGGCAGACGCCAATGTTCTGGGCCATACCGTCATGATTTTTTGTACCTGCAATAGAGGCACTCGAAAGCGCGGATATATTAGGCTGGGACGATGACTTCAACACACAACAGCAAGCACGATAGAAGAAAGGGTTAATTTTGCATCAAAATGGGACGTCTAAATTATAGCTCATGCATGGATTGCTGGGCCGTGTGTTAGGGACCACTCAACATGCAACCATGGGCCCGACTTTTGGGGGTACTTTCTTGACGGGTCCAGGCCGGGAGGTGCATTACACGGTTCAAGTAGTCCTTTGTGGACAGTTGCAATTGCAAAATTTAAGGGCTCTGTAGGTCAGCGGGAACGTCTCGATGACCGAACTTGAGTCCATGCCCTACTTGTAACCCGTGGACCAGATGAATTGGTAAACCCTTCAGTGCTATGGGCTAAGCAACGGGGCTTGTTGGGACCTGTAAAGTGTGGTCTGATGGAGGTGAGCGCGGGATTACCCAACATCCTTCCCCCCTGGTGAACCCCAATATGTCGTGATCGTTGGTCATGGAAGTGGCGAAGAGAAGTCTAATTCCTGCTCATTTGCACGGACGAAGTCGATGGCCCGTGGCCGTCCCTTTGCGGCAGTTTCGGTTCCCTGTGCGGCAGACTCTGTAGATGTACATTAGTAGGCAAGATGAATACCTACAGCTCAGCGATGGTAGATAGTCTGCACTATAACAGTGGTTGCTAAACGTTCCTGGTCATACTGCCCCTGCTTCTACTGGTTACGGCATTACGGGGACTTGGTGGATACTACGAGTCTCCCGGGTGGGGTGCTTGGCATTTCGGGTTGTAGTATATGGTGAAGGAGTGGGACTAAGGGTATACCAAACTGGTTATGGGGAAATTCGAGGGCAGGCAGAGCGCGGTATGTGTACGAGCAATGGGTGGTCCGGGTCTTGGTTGGAATCGGTTTAGAGCCTTCACATGGAGACAGACAACGGAGTGTGTCGGCGTCCGCTTGTGACTTTGGCGAAGAGAAGGGGGGTACACAGGCACAAATTCGCCTACGGAGGCGTTATTGACCCCCAACGTGCATCCAAGTCCTGTCGTTTGAATCTTGGGGTGGCGGGTATTAGTATGGGCTCGCAATCTCCCGGGTCGGGAGTTGGATCAACAGCAGCGGGTTAAGAGATAGATGTGTAATGAGAGGTGCGGGGCCGGTCCTGGTCAGAGCGGGTATGCAGACTAAGTAGCCAGTATTCGTGAATAGTAGCGTTCCTTGGTGAGCCTTTGTGGTGTAGGATTGTTATATTTGTCACAGGCCGCGTCAGGCATCCCCGTTGGTGGATAACCCTCATAAGGTTAGAATGGAACTTACCATGTAGGCCAGCGTAGTACAGTCTTGGCGGTGGAACGGGTTCGTGTTGGGTGGGAGCAGTTGTAATCGCGTGTAGCATAGTTCGCCGCGAGGGGCGGCGGGGGACGTCCAGGTGCATGGTCTACCTAATTCTGGCGTTGTAGTTCCTATTTTAGGTTTTTGTCTGTTAGGACTTACGCGGCCCCCCACGAGTGAACAGAGCATTTTTGCCTAGTGGGTCGGGACAATTCTGCACCTCATGTTTCCGTCCAAGTAATGGGTGGTGTTCAGAGGGTGTACACTAGGAGTGGGGGTTGAAGGGACGACGGAGAATTGGGTGGTGGAATTACGGACCTGAGCGGCGCTCGAGGTACGGATGAATGTGGTCGGTGGACTTTTGAAGGGAGGTATATTAGTTGGGACCAAGTTGGGGTTGGCATAGGGGGCTTGGTGATGATGATGGGATGCTGGTAAAGCGGTGCGTGAAGCCCCGTTGGTAGAAGGGAGGTTTTTCTATATCCCTCAAACTATAACCTCGCTGCAGCAAATACAAATAATGACAAAGCAACAAGGAAAAACAAACAGTTGGCACGCCCCGCTGTCCGGACAAATGTTACGGCCCAAACATTGGGATCATTAGTTCCGGTGTCGCGAGTTATGAGCAGGCTGCAGGATCTGTGTGGAAACTGGTGGCACTATGTTATCTCACGGCGACCCCAGTGACGTAGTTGGGTGCGGGCGGCAGGCACTGTTACTGGAGCGGGCCTTGGGTATTTGGTCTAGCTCATTATATTCTTAGACAATGCGGGAGGAACAGGTAGACTTGAATCGCCTGATGATTAGGCGGGGAAATTAATTTCGTGTCAACGGCCTATTGGTCACCCAGTCTTGGCACTGGTAGGGCCTCTGAATACATTCCACAGTCGACAACGGCAGTTCCTGGCCGACACGTCGTGTTACACTGGGGAGAAGACCAAGTAACACTTGGACCGCCCCGCAATACATGCCTCTTTACCCATACTCCAGACTCACAAAATGACCGAATTCATGGATACAACCAAACCGAGCGCCGGGTACGGCGGGGGTGCTGGACCCTTGCGCATGTTCGTGGCAATGACCTGCAGCGTGGAGGGGGCGGCGTCGCTGTCGTTGTATGGGCGCGGTGGACGGGACGGGGGAATAGTGAGAAGGAAGGAATAATCTTTGTAGAAGTCGTAAAGTTCACATCTGAGGACTGGGCGATCGAGGGGGGGGCAAGAATAATGTCATGGTGGGGGCTTTGAAGCGAGTTTAAGGATGCGTTGGGGTGACAGTTCGGGGTGGTGAAAAGAGGCATTGTGGAGCGGATTACTCAAAAACGGGGGACATGGGGGCTAAGCACAATCGTTTGGGGTTGTATCGCGTAGGGTCGGCAGGGGGTTTCTAGGGAGAAAAACACAGGCCGTGGGAAGATCCGTGTGGTTGGGAAGCAAAGTGCAGGCGGAAAATATGCGCGGGAAGGTCGCTGGAATTGCTGGGGATTATGAATAAGAGCTGAGGGGGAGTGTAGGGGCAGGTTAAGATGAGGATTTTAACTAGGGTGAGTTGTTTGTAGGCCACTAGGGGTAGCTGTTGGAACAAGGTCTAGTCCGGTCGTGCTGTTCTCCTTCTTGCCCCAGTGCACCCCTTAGAGAATGGGTGGCTGGTCACCATGACAATCTTGGAAAAGTACTTTGCATTTCGATGGAACAAAGCATAGTCCAAAACGATTGACAGCCAGTGCTAACCGGTCCTGTGCTGTCTGGCATGTTTGGGAGCTGTCACAGATTAGGGCAATATCGTCCGCATACTCCAAGTCAAGAAGTCCCTCACCAGGAAGTAGCTCCACACCTTCTAGGTCGTGTCCAGCGGACGCTGTTTCCATGACTTCATCAATAGCGAAGTTGAAGAGGAAAGGTGACAGCGAGTATCCTTGTCTCACACCGCTGGTGATACTGAAGGGTGGCGACAGTTTGCCATAAACCCTCACCCTGCCCGAACTATGCACGTACAGCGCTTTGATAATGTTTACATATTTATCAGGCACACCTTACCTCAGCAGACAGTCCCAAAGGGCACATCGATCGACTGAGTCGAAGGCACCTTTTATGTCAAAAACACGACAACGGTGGGTCGCCAATAAACATGGCGGTGCTCCAACACTTGACGCAATGTGAAGATGTGGTCGATGCAGCCCCGACCTCTACGAAACACGGCCTGCTCTTCACGAATCTGGCTTTTACGAGTGCCAGTCAGTTTGCGGAGAATGACAGAGGCAAGCAATTTAGAAGCAATCGAAATCAGACTGATCCCTCTATGATTGCCGCATTCCAAATGGGAGTTTCCCTTGAAAATTGGGACAATGACGGAGCGGTTCCAGTCTGTCGGGACTGTCTCCTGCTCCCAAACTTTTACTAGCAACTCGTGTACATCATCTACTAGAGCAGGTCCCCCGAATTCGAAGAGGGCTGGGGGAATTCTATCTGCCCCTGTAGCCTTATGCAATTTCAACAGCCTGATCTCATGTTCGACTTCTGCGCGTGAGGGCGGATCCAAGGAGACGGCCCAAGGAGAAGCGCGCTCAATGCCCGAAGAAGAAAGCAATAACTCAGGTTGGTCAAATTGCTTTGCAAAGTGTTCAGCCTAACGCTCCAAGCGTTTTGACAAGCTGTGGATCGGCTGCCCACTCTCGTCGCGTATGGTCTCGTTAACACCAGGTCTCCTGCTGCCTGTTTCCCGTATCAGACGGAATAACTTACGATGATTACCAACGGCAGCGGCGGTTTCTATCTCAGAGGCATGATGAGACCACCAGGTTTCGCGGTCCTTGTTTAGGCTAGCACGTAGTTTTGCCCTGAGATTTTGCGAGCCTCATTGTATTCGCTTCCAGCCGGAATACGTCGGCGAGCATCCATAAGTTCTAGAGACTGTGTAGAGACCCAATGTCCGGTTTGGCAATTTGCTTTGCCACATGAAGACATGCCTGTTAACAGCAACGTTTGACGAATATGCGACCAGTGATCTTCAACGGTGTTTAGTGGGCGCTTACTCAGCCCAGATGTCAGCGCACTTTGGTACACATTCAGAACATCTGGCTTCGCCAGCTGGCTGGTGTCAATCCGTTCACATCGACGTTGCGGACGTCCACCGAAACGCACCAGGTCGGCACAGACAAGTGCGTGGTCAGAGTCCACGCTCGTGCTCCAAATCGAGCGACAGTTTTGGACACAGCCTCTCCAGCGGTAACTGATCGCGATATGATCGATTTGCGTCCATGGTTGGCCCGAGGCTGGTGGCCGCCAAGTCACGCTTCTGTGGGTGCTGTGTCGAAAGTTAGTGCTCGCGATAAAGAGGCGAGCATCTTCACACAGCTGTAGCAATCGTTCACCATTATCATTACGGGAGCCTACACCATGTTGGCCGCCCAGATGAAGTTCATCAGATGACAATTTTCCGACTTGGGCGTTTAGATCGCCAGCCAACACCACAGTATCCGTGCTTCTTCTGTAACGAAGGAGCTCGTGAAGTTGCTGATAGAAATCATCTTTTACCGAATCAATGCTACAGTTTGTAGGGGGCGTAAGCCGCAATGACAAACAGGCAACGTTTGTCCCCGCGCGACTTCGTAGCACGGAACGAACCAGCTAGTCTAACGGCGCACATCCTACTGTTTACTGGGATCCAATCAATCAGGGCAGCTTCAGCCCGGGGACTCAAAATAATGCCGACGCCAGCTTGACCGGCATTTGAAGCTGCATCATCGGCAGACAAGCGCAATGAGAATGTGCCGCCAGTGTCGCATGTGGGGGATCTCAGGGTAAGCACGGAGCTGGAACCTTGCAGGCGGGTTTCTGATAAACAGCAAATATCGATCGATAGGGTCTCCAGTGTGCGGGCAAGTGCTGCCTGTTGACCAATCTGTAGCAAAGTGCGCACGTTGAGGCATGCCAGTCTTAGCGAGACACGAGGACTCCAAAGGGAAACTGATGAACTGAAGTTGTCCGCTTGGTTGAACATGGACTTGTCGACTGGATTGGAGCGAGGCCCTGCGATTGTGTGTGATTTGAAACTAGAAGACAAGCGGCTATTGAAGTAAGCTGGGGGAGGGTCAAGAATTGGGGGATTGAAAATGGGGGGTATAAGTAAAGATGGAGCGGGACAATAAGGATGAAGAAGCGCAAGAAGGAGTATAAGAAGACGGGAAGGCCTGAGCAGTAGCATCCATACCCCTATCCACCCTGCTCGATGCAGCAGATAGGGGGCCGTTTATTATCCTCTGCCACGGCCAGAGCATCAAGAAATTGTTGTAGGAAAGATTCATTGTATTGCGTGGGCAGAATACTGTCAGGTTGCCCAGGCCTAGACAGGAGAACGATTAGAGTTCTCAAACAAAGCCTTTGGTTCAAAAACCTTACCGCAAGGCAGCGGGTTTTGGCACTGGACTACAGAGCCCGTTTTATGAAATGAGGAGATGAAGATATTGAAAAGTACGGGACCGAGGACAGAGCCCTGTGGGACCCCACTCGTCATGAGAACGGGAGCATAAAATGTGTCATTCACCTTCACTTGCATAGAGTGGTCGTTTAGGAAGTCGGAGATCCAAGACAGGAGGTTCCCAGAAATACCGATTCCTTGGAGCTTAAACAGGAGCCGTTCATGCGGGACTTTGTCAAAAGCTTTGATGAAGCCAACAAACACAACGTCCAAGCGTTTGTCGGAGTCTAGCGACCTAGCCCCGGTCTCCTTAGCAACGAGCAAGTTCGAGGTACAGGAGCGAGCTTTTCGGAACCCATGCTGGGCATAAGAAATGACTTTCTGTCCCCCAAGATGAAGAGTAACAGCTTGTTTTAGGATCCGTTCCATAACTACACACTATTGACGTCAAACAGATTGGACGATAATTGGCCGGATCATGTCGACTTCCTCCTTTGTAAATGGGTTTGAAGATATCCACTTTCCAAGATGAAGGAAGAGGGCTAACTTCTAGTGAGCGACGAAAGACTTGACATATGGGTGAAGCTATGTAATCCGCCACAGTCCTGAGGAACGAAGGATGCAATCTATCAGGGCCGGGTGAGCTATACGGATCTAACTGAAGAAGAAGTTTCATCACAGAATCAG